GTCAACAGGGGATGTGGAGCTTTGTCTCATCAACATGCTGACAACTAGGATAACCTACCTTTCCCTTTGGGTGCTGCCTGGAGGCTGTTCTGCAATGGATACAGTCGAATGGACTAAGGTTGAACCCAGACAAGATGGAGGTCCTGAGGGTGGGGGCTCCGTTGTCAGTGGTTTGGGTAACTCCCTTTCTTTTGAGGGGGTGACTCTCACCACAAATAATTTGGTTTGCAGTCTGGGGGTCCATTTTGACCTGGCACTTACCATGGGGACCCAGGTAGCGTCCGTGGTTCTGTCTGTCCATTTATATCTTCAGTGAATCGCCCTATCTAGACACGAGGGCACTCACCATACTGGCCCATGCACTCATAGTCTCAAGAATACACTACTGTAACACTCTCTATGTGGGGCTTTCTCTGAGAACGATGTGGAAGCTCCAGATGGTCCAGAACATGGTGGCCAGTCTATTAAGAGGAGTGAAAAGATTTCACCATATTTCCCCCACTCTGGCCACCTTACGCTGGCTGCTTATCCGCTTCCGCATTGATTTCAAGGTGTTAAACTATTACATATGAAGCCCTTAATGGTTTAGGACCTTGAAACCTGGCAGAGTGCCTTCTTCTGCTCAGTTCTATCCATATCACCCACTCCAGTCAGGCTGGGCGGCTGAGAGGCCTAACGCCAAGAGAGGCCCTGTGGGAAAAGACTAGCAATTGGGCCTTCTTGGCAGTCGTCCCTCGCCGACTAGCTATTGGGCCTTCTTGGCAGTCGTCCCTCGCCTCTGGAACAATTTACAGTGGGGTCTTGACTTGAGAACTTAATCCGTATTGGAAGGCGGTTCTCAAGTCAAAAAGTCTGTAAGTCAAGTCTCCATTGACCTACAGTGCATTGAAAACCGATTAATCCCGTAACAGGCCGTTTTTGTTCCATTTTGGTTTTTTTCTGGTCTGTAAGTCAAATCTCAGTCTGCAAATCAAACCTAAATTTTGCGGCCAGAGAAGTCTGTAACTCAAAAAGTCTGTAAGTCAAGCCGTCTGTAAGTCAAGGGTCCACTGTACCTACAGGGATCCACCTGGCTCTTCAAGACTAACTTGAACACATGGCTATACAGGCAGGCCTTCCCTATAGCCGTTACCTGGCCTTTCCCCCCCCTTTTCTTTTCTCTCTCTCCTTTTTTAAAATCTTCTTTTCTTCCTTTCCCACCTTGGACTCTGTGATTAATCTGGATTTTACTTTAGTTTCTTTTTATGATATATGTAAATCGCCCAGAGTAGACACATTCTAAATGGGCAGTAAATAAATAAATAAATAAATAAATAAATATTCAACTATGAGAAAGATACAGCGACTCTATGAGTAACATTTTTGCTGACATACCAGAGGGCTGTATTTACTGGCAATTTTATTGCAAAAGGTTTTCCATGGAAACAGTCAACAGCACCAGTCAATGGGCACTGCAGCAACTTTCATTCAGAAAGTGAGATAGCGGCCAGTCTTGAACAATTAGGTGACATGTGGAGTTGCGTCCCCATGCAGGGGTGAAGTTCCATGAGGTGTAGTTGGAGACCCACTGAGCCAACAGGACCAATCCATCCAATCTCTGCTCTCTGGTCTCCCTTTGCCTTCCCCCAAACATTGGCCACAAAGAGACCCAACAGGCCATGCATCCAAAATGCAAACCTGCACTCTGCTTTTAAGTGTATTTGCCCTTGTAATTGGCAGTGTAGCCCATGCAAAGCGATTTCAGGCCAATCAGGAAAGTCAAGGGTAGAGAGAAAACTGCCCCTCTCAGAACCATCAGCTGAAGACCCCTCTTGACTCTCTCTCTGCTTGAATTTCATCTGTCTGGATGGAGAAGTGGGGAGGGGCTGGCAGTGAAGATCTGGCCAACAGCGAAAGCTCCTGGCTCCTCAGTAATGGCTTTTAAAAGAATTCCGAAGAAAAGCAGTCATATCACGCGTGAGATATTTAGTTTGAAAGACGAAAAAGCTCAGCTTCCTGAGAGGGACTAAGTAAGTAGGGTTGTTTTCTAACTAGCTAGGGTCCTGCATGAGAACTTTTGCCAGAGTAGATGATTGTAGTCTCAGTGGTTGTAAAGAGAGGGAGGAGAAACATCTAAGGAACAAACAGCTAATAACACATACAGGATTTGAGATATTCCAACTAAGAGAAGTGATATGATGAAGATATAGAACATGATAAATGAATTCAAGAAATTATTGGAAACAAATAATAAGCAGCTACATGCCAATATGGATGGATCATTGGATCAACAATGGATCTAAATAATCACACTTAAAGGCTGAGATGTATAAGTCACTTTCAGGAGCTGACAAGCACCTGCAAGCACTGGGTTCCAAAGTTGAGGAGACTGAAAAAATGGCTAAAATGAATGTGGAAAAACATAATTGGCATGCAAATACATTGAGCCAGAGGCCCCCTCCCTCAGCGAGGGAGAACGCAGAGCTGATAAGGCCGAGGGAGATTGTTGGTGCTGCTCATGATGGGAGAGAGGTCGATGTCCTTGGGATCCTGGAGGGGTTTCAGTTTGAAGTGCTGCAGGATGGTGGTCAAGAAGTGGAACAGCTCCATGCGGGCGAGGCCCTCCCCTGCACAGATCCGTTTACCTGCAAAGGAAACCAAGGCGGGAAGGTAAGCAAGAGGAAGGTCTTCCTTAACAGCTGGGGGAAACTTCACCACAAGGTCAAGGGGCTCAAATTTGTAGGGAATGTGGCCCTCCAGGAACATCTCCTGGGAACATTATCTGCAGCCTCTCTCCACTTATTGTCATGGGGAAGAGGAAGGACAAGGGACTCTGCAGGGCATGGAGCAGTAGTAGAGGAATAACAAAAACTATAGGCTCATTTCTTCTTTCTGGTCCATTGAGGAACCAGATTTGAAGCTGAAAGTACGGCTGTATTAAGTACAGGGAAGGAGCCGGCCTGAGTCACTTTTGAGTGGTTTGGTCCAGTATGGCTTGATTTGTTTACTCCTTCTGTACACATGGACCGAATTCCTGGATCCCCTGCCATTGTCGTCTAGTCAACCACATGCTGTTGTTGGATCACTTGGTTTCAGTCCCTTTGGTCGCCATGTGACCCTCCCTTTTCACTCCCCACTTTCTGCCTTCTCTGTTGCAATAGCTCTCAGCCAGTAGCCATTAAAGTAGTTTTTATGGCCCAAAGCGGGGTGGTGCCATGTTTCAGGTTCATCTTTTCTCCTTTTAAAAAATTAATTATTGCTAAGTGGCATAGCACTGCATTGTTTCATTGCTGAAAATCCCTAAGTGACCCATTGGCTGCCTTCGTTTCCAAAATGCAGCTCTGTTTAAAGAAGTAAACATTTTATAACTACTGTACTAGTGGGCTATTTAGTCTACAATGAGAAATGATGAGCAATGTCAAGTTTGCACAAAAACACAGAGCAAGCCAAGAGGGAAGAGATGTTGTTCATAATGCTTGACATCCTTCAAAGCCAATGCCTGAAAGCAGCCACTGTAATCATTTTGTACAACTGGCTCGTTGTGCAGTTTTCCTTTATGTACGTCTTGCTCTTGTCTTCAGCTCCTGTTGAGAGCTCCACGGAGTGCTTTTCCAGGGTGAGCAGAATTGTTTTATGGCTTTTTCTTGTCACAGGCAAGGAAAAGTCAGGAGGGGCTTGATGTTGACCCCCATCAGTGACCCTCCCAGCCCTAGTGGTGCAAGATGAGAGAGCCCCCAAAGAGCCAGTCAGGAGCACCATTGGCTGGAGGGAAGAGCCCTTTTACCTGCCGAGAAGGGCATGAAGTAGTCACTCTTCCTGAAGGTCCCGTCTTTATTCAAGAAATGCTGTGGGTCAAATTCTGTGGGGTTTGGAAATTCTTTGCTGTCGTACAGCGCAGAGGTCAGGACAGGGAAGATGGTGGTGCCCTGAGGAGAGAGAAAAGAAGCGGGTTATGCCGTTTGCTGTCCGTGTTTGAGCAGAGATGCTTCTGATGTCACTTGTGCTTCTCCTCCTTTCACCCAGCCAAGAGCCAGGTTTAAATGCCCTTTCATAACACCTTTGCCTTTCCTTCTCGTTCCTCTTGGCTTTCCTGTCCAAATCCAATGTTTTAAGCAAAGGTGGACCTCTTAAAATCAGTGAAATTGAGCTCGGTTGGGACTTATCAGTTTCCCCTCTGGTGCAGGGAATCTACTCTCTCTGGGACCAGCTGTTGCCTTCAAGCCTTTATGTTTGCCGTTCACTTGGATGAGTGCATGGACGTTGGCCTGAGTCCTGATTCAGTGTCGTTCTATCAGGCAGTGGCTCTTCCCATCCCTCTCCCTGCCCTCACCAGTTGGGCCCCACATTTTAGATGAGGTCCGATTCTGATTCAGAACTTCTGAAAAGTCTGGATGCCTCTGACCAAACATTATTTTCATGCAGATTTTGAAGATGGCTAGCATGCTCATCTGTCTAAAAGTTGGAAAGTTTTTATCCTCTTAGAGGACACTTAGAGGACCCCACATGCACCAACTGTGAAATGACTAAATACAGAGCACAGAGTTCTGACTCCTGTCCTCTGAAGATGCCAGACACAGAGATTGGCGAATTGTTAGGAAACGTTAGGAAGAAAAACCTTTAGAACACAACTAAAAAGCCTGGAAAACCCACAACAACCAACTAAATACTTCAATGGGCAGATTTCAATATTAGGTCTGTAAACAAAAAGAACAAAAAAAGGTCCACAAACAACATTTAATATTCCCACTGATTTTTTTGGCCACGTCTTAAGGACTTGCCCCTTTGAAGCCCAGCTTTTTGGATCCTGGCAAGACAGAAATACAGCCCTGAGCCCTGCCAAGATCCATGTGCCTACATCAGTCCCCTTGGTCACACAGGAGCTCCTGTTTTGCCCGAGAAACAGAGACGGTACCTTTGGGATGATGTATTGTCGGAAGGTGGTGTCTTTGGCCACTGCGTGGGGGACACTCAGTGGGACAAGAGAGATGAACCTCTGGATTTCGTGGATGACAGCATCTGTGTAAGGCATCTGCCCGCGGTCAGCTATGCACGGTGCCCTGGCTCGACCGACCACGCGGTCAATCTCTTCATGCACTTTCTCTGGAAAGGGATGGGAAAGGGTCAGCACCAGTGCCCTGACGTGCCCCGGAAGCCCTGAAACCTCAGTGGGAGATCTGACCTCACAGAATTTTTTTTAGTATATTACAGTGCTGCCTCGCGTAACGTGCGCACCATTCAACAACGAATCCGCATAGAGATCTATTTCTTGAGATCTCTAATGCAACCGCATAGCGATGTTTTAATGGGCAAAACATCGCATTGCGATGATTGGTAAGAGTTTCGCTTACCGATCTTCGCATTGAAATGTTTCTAAAACAGCTGATTGGCGGTTCCAAAATGGCCACCAGGTGCCCAAAATGGCCGCCGCAACCATTTTTGCGCGATTTCCTCGCTTACCGAGGACGCGAAAATGGCAGCGCTATGGAGGATCTTCGAATAACGGTGAGTTTTCGCCCCATAGGAAGGCATTAAACAAAACCTAATGCGTTTCTATGGGGTATTCCCGCCCGCATTGCGATGTTTCCGTATAGTGACGATTAATCCAAAACGGATTAACATCGCCATGCGGGGCACCACTGTATTTGTTTTATCCTTTTAAGTATTTGTTGCAAACTTTAATATTGCCTTTCGTGGGTGTAAAACTTTTTAAAGTTACAATGCAGGGTAAAATAGTTTAAATAAATAAAGTAACAGCAGTAAAGGATATATGGTGTATGGGGGCTTTGGGGTCCTCTATGTGACATTTTATTCTGATTAGTCTCCATTCTCCAGCTCTGTTCCCTGATCACCCCCTGCAATGAGACCCCGAGATGCAAGCCATTATTTCTTCATGGCCCAACATATTTCAGATGATAGGTGTTCTTCAGAGGAGTTGGGTGCCTACTTTTATTGAAGGGGAAAACAGATACATGCTCTCTGCTTTTGAATCCTGGAAGCAGAGCTCTCTCCAAGTAGTCTGGAAGAGTATTTCTGAATATTTAGCTTCCCTGAAGAAAGCCTTTTGCCAGAAAGACAACAGAGTCCCCGTTCCCCCCTCTTTTTCTGGTGGTGGTTCTGGTGGATCCTTCCTGGTTTCACTTGTGTTTTTACTGTCCTCCTTTACCCACTGGCACCCAAGCTAACTTCCATGATCACCCCAAATCCTGCCATTTCTGGGAATCACCCAGGCAGCAAGGCAGGAATTCTATGGGGCTGTGATGAGACACCGAAAACCTGAAAGGGGAGACCACCGAGGGGAGGGAATGGAGGGGAGCTGCCAGCAGGTAGTTGAAGGGTCTGTCTTACCTTCTACCTCCGGGTATTTCTGGAGAATCAAGAGCCCATATCTGAGGGTTGTGCTGGTTGTTTCTGTTCCAGCTCCAAACAAATCAAGTATGGAGGTCAGCATATTTTCAGGGGTGAACTCTGACGCGCTGTTCTTTTTTTCCTGGAGAAATATATACCATCAATGGCATTAAATTAGTTGTGGTGGTGAAATTTAGGAAGAATATAACATTTAGAATATATTCAAACTGGAAGAAAAAGTGTATGTAGCTTGTCAATGGAAGACTGAGTTTGGCATGTAGTTTGCTCTGCTGTGACAATAGGTTGATTTGCTCCTTTTCCCAGCAATCACATAACAAAGAGCTGGAGCGAAACATAGGCCATCCCGAGAGCATTCCTACCTTCCTGGGTTCCAGATTTTTTTGTTGGTGTTAGAATTGCTCTATTTTGGTTCATTCCCTTTGTGTGTAATCACTGGAAACAAACCAAAGTGAGCTTTCAAGGATAATTCTGCAGTCAATTTCTCCTATTGTGACATAGCTGAAGAAGACAACTTAAAGGAGAACCACTTCAGGATATTGGCAAATTAAACACTTCCTCTATTTAGTGTCAGAATAAATACTATTTAGTGATAAATAAGTAATAAATTCTATCTGAGCATATTTTTTTAAAAAAATGAACACTTGGTGATGGATTTGGCAATGGGCAGGTTTTTTTAATTGTTTTAATAACTTGGGTTAGGTTATGGGGTACAGAAGGTAAGAGGGGGTGTGAGGGGAAAAAAGGATTGCGGTTGGGGGGAGAAGAAAGAAAATATGCTAGCATCCATTCTATTGCAATTGCAAAAATGTTGACGTTAAGCGGTTTCGTTGTTAAATGGAGCAATCGTTAAGCAAGGCACCACTGTATTATCTGATATCATATTCAATAAAAACAGTTCTGGGATTAATGGAACCTTACAAAGCAATATTTGCTGTAACACAGTATGCTTTTCTATCCAATATTGTTTCCTTACTCTACAAGTCCACCATATATGATAATAGTTTCCCACATCTGCTTCACATTTCCAACAGACATTTGATACATCTGTATACATCTTGGACAATTTTTTTGGAGTCATATGCCACCTATAAAACATCTTGTATATGTTCTCCTTAAAATTAACCTATTTTGTGAGCTTTATATTATTTTGCCATATTTGCAACCATTGATCAATATAAATATCATGACCTATATTTTGTGCCCACTTAATCATACATTCTTTAACCAATTCATCTTGCATTTCAATTTCTAACGGATAATTATACATTTTCTTAATTATTCTATCTTTTGAGTTTAATAAAAATTTATCGAATGTTGTTTGTTCTGAATAGAAATCCTCTATTTTGTCTTTTCTGTATCTAGATTCCAGTTGTGCTCTGGACCACCAGTCTATGTAAATATTGTGTGTCTCTAGTTCTTCTTTAGACCTTAACTCACAACAGAAGTTTTGCTTTCATCATAAGATCAGGTTGTGTAAAGGGCTCCATAGGTAAATACCCATACTGGTGTTTTTTGGTAAATTTGTTGAATAATCTTTTACTAAGTTCCTAATAATGCTCTTCTTATCACATGTGAATTAAAATGCTTTTGCTCTTTATCCTTTTTATACCATAAAAAAGCATGCCAACTGAACTGCAGATCATGTCCTTCCAAATTGAGTAATCTATCATTTTCCAAAATTATCCATTCTTTTATCCAGTCTAATACGCAGGATCTAAAGTACAAAACCCAGTCTGGAAGACCAAAAACCGGCCTCTGTTTGGCATCTTGCATTGCTTTAATTTTAATTCTTTGTTTTTTACCTTGCCATACAAATCTCATAATTATCTTACTGAGTTCTTGAAAAAAAAGGACTGTTCTAATATTATAGGGATTGTCTGAAATAAAAATAAAATTTTTGGCAAGACATTCATTTTGATAGTTACCACTCTTCCCATCTCTCCAAGTTGATCTGTATTTGTCTCATCTCTCCAAGTTGATCTGTATCTCTTTAATCAATTTCATATTATTATCTTTGAATAGTGTGCTCGTCTTCTTTGTAATTTGAATGCCTAAATATCTAAGTCTCTTTTACTCTTGGAAGTTAGTCTTTTCTATTAACGTCTGTCATTCTTGTTCTCTCATATTTTTAACAAGTGTTTTGGTTTTCGTTTGGTTTATTTTCATTCCTCCCATATCACCAATTTTTTTCAGCATCTCCATCAAGTCTTCTATTGAATGCATTGGATCTTCCATTATAATGACCAAGTCATCTGTAAAAGCTTGGAATTTATAAGTATGACCTCTTACTTTTAGTCCTTTTAATTCCTTTTTATCTCTGATTTGCTTGGTTAAAATATCTAGAGTCAAGATAAATAGTAGTGGTGAGAGTGGACACCCTTGTCTAGTACCTTTCTGTATCTGTATTTCTTTCGTCAACTCTCACTTTTGCCTTTTGTTGAGTGTAAATTGCTTTGATTAGTTTCAAGAATCTTTCTCCAACTTGTAGCACTTCCAGCTGATACAACATTAAATTCCAACCAAGATTGTCAAAGGCTTTCTCCGCATCCAAGAATATCATAGCCACCTGTTTCTCCAGGTGTGCTTCATAAAATTCCAGAGAATTTAGGATTATCCTTATATTATTTTTCATCTGCCCTTTTGGGATGAACCCAGACTGATCTTGATGTATTAACTGTATTAAAATTCTTTTCAGTCTAGTTGCCAACATGGTCGCATATATTTTATAATCCACATTTAGCAATGAAATCAGTCTATAGTTTTGGATTTCTTTTCCCTCCATGTTTTCCTTGTGAATAAGGGAAATTATTGCTTCTGTCCATGCTGATGGCAGTTTCCCCTTTTCTTCAACACATTCCAAAAGCTTCTTATATGGGTTAAGTAATACATCTTCCAATTCTTTATAATATTCTGCTGGCAGAGCATCTGGGCCTGGTGCTTTCCCATTTTTTTGTTTTTTGAGGGCTTCTATAATTTCTGCATATGTTAAAGGCTTGTTTAAGGACTAAATTTGTTCTTTAGTCAATTTCATTTTGTTATATTTCCATACATATTCTTTCTGAGCTTCTTTATTTCCTTTTTATTGTATAAATTTCAATAGAAATCCTCAACAATCTTTTTTTATTTCCTCCTGTTTAAATTTGTCCATTCCTGTTTCATCTTTCAATGTTCGTATTATTGTTATCTCCTTCTCTTTCCTTAATCTGTAAGCTAGCCATTGTAGCGGGTACCCCAGTCACCACCTGCCTGTCACAATGGAACCTTGACAGGACAGCCAATGAGGGGGACGGAAGGCAGGAGCAGGAGAGAAGGGGGGTACAAAAGGAAGAGTCTGGAGGAGATAGGTTCAGTTCAGTTCAGTTGAGTTTTGTGTGAGCTTTTTGGTGGAGTGTGAGATAGATAGGAGGAGTGTGAGAGTGGAGGAGTGTGAGAAAGTGATACAGTGAGAGTAGAGTGAGAGGACAAACATCAAGAATGAGATCAGAGGTTCAAAGTGAATTGATTGAGGTAGATTGAGATCGGAGATTGGGATTGTAGCAACCCCAGACCTACTGGAGTATCCCACCCTGGAATTGATTGAGGTAGACTGAGATCGGAGATTGGGATATATATTAAAGTAACAGAAGTCGTTAAATACATCCTAGTTTACATACTTGATTTGCTTTCTGTGATTGACACCGTTATTTTCAACCAATCATTAACTCCACCCTGATAAATAAACTCAATGCATTTGTTAACTGGTGTGTCCTTGAATTAATTGATGTTTAAAAGAAAACACCTGGTGGCAGTGTGAGAAGAGAGATGCAGCTTGTGTCTTTGTGAGGAACCAGAACATAATATAGGTCACAGAGACGGAGGTGTGCCACAGCCATCTCCCCGGTTTATTTGCAGTTTCAAAAAAATTTTGCTTTGCATATTTAAGTTGCTTTGCAGTTTCTTCGGTGAACAATATATTTATCTAGTGTTGTATAGACTTTATCCTCTCTTTCAATTCTGTTTTGTTTCAACTACAACTCGTCTGAGGCTAATCTACTTTCCAAAGTCTCATGTTTTTTCTGTCTTTCTCTTTCTAGGTGCCATCAGTGCTGTATGTGACAGGGATATATATTAAAGTAACAGAAGTAGTTAAATACATCCTAGTTTACATACTTGATTTGCTTTCTGTGATTGACACCGTTATTTTCAACCAATCATTAACTCCACCCTGATAAATAAACTCAATGCATTTGTTAACTGGTGTGTCCTTGAATTAATTGATGTTTAAAAGAAAACACCTGGTGGCAGTGTGAGAAGAGAGATGCAGCTTGTGTCTTTGTGAGGAACCAGAACATAATATAGGTCACAGAGACGGAGGTGTGCCACAGCCATCTCCCCGGTTTATTTGCAGTTTCAAAAAAATTTTGCTTTGCATATTTAAGTTGCTTTGCAGTTTCTTCGGTGAGCAATATATTTATCTAGTGTTGTATAGACTTTATCCTCTCTTTCAATTCTGTTTTGTTTCAACTACAACTCGTCTGAGGCTAATCTACTTTCCAAAGTCTCATGTTTTTTCTGTCTTTCTCTTTCGTGTTTTGCTGCAAATCTTATAGCTATTCTTCTAAAAAATGCCTTACTTGCCTCCCAGACCATAATCATTGAGGTTTCTGGCCTAATATTCTGTTTAAAGAAAAAAAAATTCATTTCTTCTTTTGCTTGCTTCTTAAAATCCTCAGTTTTAAATGCACGATATTAAGCTTCCAATTAAATTCTCTTGATTTACTACCCAATTTTAATGAGATTGGATTGTGGTCTGCAAATGTATTAGGTAAAATATATATTTGTTCCAATTCTTTCATTAAGCTTGTTGAGATCCAGCATGTATCAGTTCTTGACCATGATTTATGTCTATTCAAGTAGAAGGTGTAGTCTCTTGTCATTGGATTACACGTTCTCCAAGCATCTATGATTTTTACTTCTTCTGCCAGTTGTAAAAAGTTTCTTGAGATTGTACCTCTCTCTTTTTAATTATTTTATCTGATTTTGTGCCTAATTCTTTGTGAAGAGATGGGAGCATTAAAATCTCACATCACAAAGGAATAATCATAATCTATATTTGTCAATTCTAGTTCCAGTTTAAAATGTTTTTCTTGATTTCCATTTAGTGCATAGATGTTGACAATTAGCAATTTCTTTGATTCTTTTTGGATTTCCACCATTAATATCCTTTCATTATCTGAGGCGAAAATCAGTTTTGAATCTAGTTCTTTCTTACTATACATAGCCACATCTTTCTTCTTTTTACTTACGTCCAAAGCTGCAAATAATTTTCCTAATCTTGGTCATTCTAGCAGTTTTAAGTCTGCTCTTTTCATATGGGTTTCTTGAATACATATAATACCAGATTTCTGTTTCTGCAATTGGAGAAAGATCTTTTTATGTTTTTGAGGTGAGTTTAGGCCATTTACATTGACTGAAAAAAATCTTCATTTGTTTTCTAGTCATCTTGTTGTAGATTACTACTCCTCTGTTTCCTTGTCATACTTCTGGTACATCTTGACTCAGATACTTCATGTTTCTGGTCTTCACGGATGGGTCCAACGTCGGGCTGGGAGCTATGTTCACCCAAGCTGATGACGACAGAAACCATCATACTGTGACCTACCTTGAGGCTTTGTCATTTCTTGAGTTGTATCCACTCTTTGCCATAATGTTGCTTCCTGATTATGTCATTTTTTTGAGGACTGCAAGATATTTTAAGCTGAATTAACAGATATATTATTTAGCAATCCCAGGAAGTACTATTCCTCCTCAATTCAGCAGTGGTTAGACCTCATCTTGAGTATGGTGTCCAGTTCCGGAGACCGCACTTCAAAAAGGATGCTGAAATATTGGAACAAGTTCAGAGGAGGGCAACAAGGATGATCAGAGGGCTTCAAACCAAGTCTTATGGGGAAAGACTGAAAGAACTGGGCAGGTTTAGACTTGAGAGGAGAGGACTGGGGGAGAGATGTGATAGCACTTTTCAGAGACTTGAAAGGTAGTTGTAGCGGAATGCAAAAAGGTGACGTCATCCCTGCCTGTCCATCACAGCAGCTAAGGGGGAGGAGCCAAGGATAGAGCAGGAGGGGTGGAATTAGAGTGACAGTTAGGGGAGTTGAAGAGATAGACAGTTGGAGTTAGGGAGAGTTAGAAAGAGTCAGGGACAAAGGAAGATGTGGAAAGAGGGTGTTAGGGTTTAGGAGAACGTAGGAGAGGGTTAGTGAATAGATCTACGGGGGTTAGGAGAGGAAATTGAGAAGTTTAAAACACATTGAACAAGCAGGAATGAATGTATAAACACTACCTGAGAGATATTGATTGAAAGCATTCAGCAGTTCAGAATAAAAGTGATTGACTACATGATTCAACATGCATTAATACCTGAACCAGTTCTATTGTGATTTTCCTGTTGATTGGTTCAAAAATAAAATAATACTTAATTAAAACCTCTGATTCCTGAGTTCTATGACCCTTTGGGTTGGCAGCACCTGTGTGGGACATAAATTAGTATTAGGAGAATACCTGGTGGCAGTGAAAAGGCCGTGTGTTCTTTTGTGAGGCCCAAAGAAATAGGGCAACAAAGGGTTCATTGCCACAAGTGGTGGCAGCATTGTGGGATCAAAAGATAATCCAGTAAACCAAAAGGAATCCAGTAAACCAAAGAAAAAAAAAGGGAATTTCCTGAGCTTAGGGGACCTAGCAGCCTGATGCTGTGAGTGGGACCCTTGAAAGTGGCTTGGAGAAAAGCTTAAAAAGGGACTCCTGAGTGCAGACCAGAGGAAGGACTACAAAAAGGGAAGTTATGAGGAAAATTCAACAGTAGTCTATACACAGGAGACACAGGATCTTTTCTAGAGCATCCCAGATTGCAGAATATGCAAAAATCGGCTCACATTACAGGAAGGCAGATTTAGACTGCACATCAGGAAACACTTCGTAACTGTTAGAGCAGTACGACAATGGAAGCAATGACCAACTCTCCCAACTGTACAACGATTCTATGATTCTATGACCTAGAGAGATAGTGAGTGTTCCAATGCTGGAGACATTCAAAAGAAGTTTAGATAACCACCTGGCAGACCTGTTTTGATCTGAACACCTGCCTTGAGCAGGGGGTTAGAATCAATGGCCTTAGAGGCCCCTTCCAACTTCATTACTTTTGTGACTCCTCCCCACCACCCCTTCCCTCATGGGTTTCTACAGTCAGAGAGTGGTTTGAATTCAGATTGCCTAAGTTCTAGCCCAACACTCTATCCAGAATACTACACTAGTTGTTAGTTTTTACCCACCTGTTCCATTTTAATAAGAAAGCAGTCAATGAAATCCCGTGGAGCATTGGGATCAAGGGTATCCTTATGCTGTTTAGTCGCCTCCAAAACAAAATCTTCCATCTTTTGCGTGTTTTTCTCTATTGTGTGGTGAGGCCCCGGAATGAGGTTCATTAAAGTTGGAAAGAGATTGCTGAGCTAAAGGAAAAAGCAGAAGAGGCACATACTTGTCATATATGACGTCAACTGTTCCATTTCTTTTTGGGATGCCTGGATAAGCATGGATGATTGCACTGGTGTAGCTAACAGGAAAGTGGGGCTGGCAGCAGGGGAGCTGGAGACGCCGGAGAAACCAGACTGCAATCTGTTTTTTTGGAGGAGTTATGAAGTTGCCATGATGAATTGGTGTGTAACTGTCCGGAGAGGGGAGAAAGGAAGATTTATGATTTGACTGCATAAACAGAAGTTGAACGGCTATTTTTATGGCAAGTAACAGACCAGATGTTTTGTTTCTCTTTGGAAAATTTGATTGTGGAGATGATCTCTTAAGCTGCAGAGGATTTTGGCAAACTTTGGAGGGTTTTCTTACTACGCCATAACTGAATTGAGAAAGTGAAACTTATATTTTCCACCCTAACCCTCCCTCCTATGGTTTGGCTTTTTATAAATTAGAAGTCTGAGAATCTTGAATGACTATGAACAGTTTAAATCTATGGAACCTTACTCTGAGCCATAAAGGAGGACTGTAAATCAAATAGTCACTTTTATGACTAGAGTGTTCTCCGTAAGACTCTGAATCAGTTCTGGTCAAGGAGCGAGGAGGGAAAGCTGAGCAACATCAACTGTCTGATTCTTATGGTTTTTGGATGAAAATTTAAGGGCGAGACTTTGGGATTTCGAAATGGAGATTTATATGATATGTCGTCTTCAGGAATTTCAATCTAATCTCATCAACCATCTCAAGGCTCAAATTTCAGCACTGGAGACAGATATCAAAGGAATCTTTCTTGGTTTGGACACTAAGATAGAGACAAGAGACAAACAGACACTATTCACTGAACCACCTGAACAACCACCATCGGCAGAGAGGGAGGGAGAGCCCACGGGAGATGAAATGATTGACTACTTCGAACCAATTGAACAACGGCCACCGGAGAGCCAGAGGGAGACTCCTTTTAAAAAAAAGCAGAATGAAATACTTAGAAATGAGGAGAGGAGGGGTGGGGACAAAGTGGGAAAGCACATGGATTTTATCCTGATGGGAAATGATGTTAAAGGGAAGGCATGGGTGAATTTGGATGCAGAAATTTATGATCAGAGGTCAAATAGATCCGTGTTGCTCAGAAATCAAGATACGGATTATACTGAGAGGAAATTAGTAAATCGCATAGAAAATGCCTTAAAGGAATTTCATAGATGGCATTTTAAAACTGGCAAAAGGGGAGTAAGAAATCAATGTTGGAAATATGAGAAGCAAAAATGAAAGGGGGGGGGGAAGTAACCTGAGGATTAAATGATGAAATTTCTTGGTTTTGAGAGATATATAGTCACACAGAAAGCAACATGAGTAATTACACAATGAGCAATTTTGGCTAGATGGGAAACTAAAGGGTAGATAAACATATGTAGCTATGAATTTTACAAAGGTTAGTGAATAACAGCCTCATGGCGCAGTGGTTAAAACACTGTACTGCAGTTAAAACTGTGCTCACGACCTGGGGTTCAAATCCCAGGTAGCCGGCTCAAGGTTGACTCAGCCTTCCATCTTTCCGAGGTCGGTAAAATGAGTACCCAGCTTGCTGGGGGGGCAATGTGTAGCCTGTATAATGAAATTGTAAACCGCCCGGAGAGTGCTTGTAGCACTATGGGGCGGTATATAAGTCCAAAAATAAATAAAAATAAAAATAAATAAAATAAATAATAATAATAGATGCCTTGGTTCTTATGGTATATAGAGAGAGCTTAAATATGAGTGAATTACTATATATTAATTATATAGAAAAATTAGTTTTACAATGTCTTTTTACCTGTAAAAATGGGGATCTCTCAGAAATGTATTAAGCGGGCCCAGAGCCTTTGTGTGGAGAGGTGTGTGTGGTTAAGCTACCTTTATGATGAAATTAGAATTGTTTATGATAAGTATTGGATAGAGGGGTATGCAAGTGAAAGAATCTATAGAGACTTTATATCCCTGGTTCATACATGGACCAAAGAAATATAACAAAAATGGGAAAGTTACTTGCTGAATATCTTAAATGGTTGATAAGTACAGGTAATGCTTAAATTAGACTACTTATTTGGATCACATTTATTTAGAAGGTATTGATGAAAAGCTAGAAACATGAAAATATTAAGTAACTTATGAACTATAGTTGGTTTATGCAATGAAGAGTGGCTTGAATATAAGATCAATACAGGTTTAAGTTTATATATTGACAATTTATGTATGTTAATCTTTGGGGATTATGTAGTCAGAATTATATATCAAACGGATATGGCCTAAAGATGTTTAGTAGGGCAATATGGTTTATGTAGTCAGTATTATACAGTATGTTAGATGGATATATGGAAAATATTCTCCGCAATTATGTGTTCTGTGTCTGTTTTGAATGTTTGTTTGTGTTATTAATTAATTAAAAAATTGCAAAAAATGACCCCAAAGTTACATCCTGATCTGCAGAAACTGTGGGAGCCTGATGGCTGGTGATTTCTAATAATGAGAGAAAGCTCTTGGTCTCCAAAATGTTTCTTGGATCTCCATCTCTGGTGTTACTTCCTTAGTCTATATGTAGATTGCAAACTCTTTAAGGCCAGGAACCTGTCCTATCCATGATCTCTATACATGAATGTGTGGAATATGGGAGACAATATTGAAAGAACTGTCTGAGAAACTCTCAGAACCACCGACTTACTATTTTATTGAAATCATAGAGGATGGATGAAGTGCTAGATGACTGAGGAAGACCTAATGTTGTCCTTGTCTTCAAAGACAAGATGGACAACCTGGACAAGACAGAGGTCTTGAGGGTGGGCGGCCCCCCATTGGTGGTTTGGGAGACTCCCTCTCTTTTGGGGGGTGTCTCTCACCGCATAGAGTGAGGTCCGCAGGTTGGGGATACATCTGGGCCCAGTGCTTACCATGGAATCCCAGGTGGTGTCTGTGGCCCGCTCCGCCTATTTTCATCTCTGGCAGATTGCCCAGCTGTGACCCTACCTTGATGGGGGGGTCCCTCACTACTCTCGTCCACGTGCTCATAATCTCGTGATTGTGTTTAGTCGTTTAGTCATGTCCGACTCTTCGTGACCCCATGGACCAGAGCACGCCAGGCCCTCCTGTCTTCTACTGCCTCCCGGAGTTGTGTCAGGTTCATGTTGGTTGCTTCGCAGACACTGTCCAGCCATCTCATCCTCGGTCGTCCCCTTCTCCTCTTGCCATCACACCTTCCTAACATCAAGGTTTTTTCCAAGGACTCTTTTCTTCTCATGAGATGGCCAAAGTACTGGAGCCTCAGCTTCAGGATCTGTCCTTCAAGTGAGCATTCAGGGTTGATTTCCTTTAGAACTGATAGGTTTGTTCTCCTTGCAGTCCAGGGGATTCTCAAGAGCCTCCTCCAGCACCACAATTCAAAGGCACCAATTCTTCGGCGGTCTGCTTTCTTTATGGTCCAGCTCTCACTTCCATACATCACGACAGGAAAAACCATAGCTTTGACTATTCGGACTTTTGTTGGCAAGGTGATGTCTCTGCTTTTCAAGATGCTGTCAAGATTTGTCATCGCTTTCCTCCCAAGAAGAAGGCGCCTTTTAATTTCAGGGCTGCTGTCTCCATCTGAAGTAATCATGGAGCCCAGGAAGATAAAATTTGACACTGCCTCCATATCTTCCCCTTCTATTTCCCAGGAGGTGATGGGACCAGTGACCATGATCTTAGTTTTTTTCTGTCTAGGGGGGCGGGGTATAAATCAAATAAAAATATATATAAATAAATAAAATAAAGAGGGGGAAAGGTGGAACACGGGAACTAAACAACCAGTCAGCCTGACATCAACCCTGTAAAAAATTCTTGAGCAGATTGTAACATAGTCACTCTGCAAGCACCATCAATGTAATGCACTTATAACTAGAAGCCAGCATGGATTTGTCAAGGACACATCCTGGCAGACTAATTTTATCTCGTTTTTTCATCAGATTACCTTCCTAGTAGACGTGAGAATGTTGCAGTTGAAATATATCTTGATGTCAGCAAAGGCTTTGAAGAGGTTCCCCATGATATTCTGATTAGCAAGCTAACGAGCTGTGGGCTAGATAGTACATGTGTTAGGTGGATACACAGTTTATCAATGGCTCCTTCTCAAACTGGGAGAAGGTAGCAAGTGAGTAACCACAAGGCTCATTTCTGGGCCTGGTGCTCTTCAATGTTTTTATTAATGATTTGGATGAGGGAGTACAGAATGTTTTCCATATCTTCAGGTGACTCAAAATTGGGCGGAAGAGCAAAATTCTTGGAAGACATGAACAAAACTAAAAAATATCTTGATAGATTCAAGCACTGGACTGAAAAGAACAGAATGAAATTCAGCATGGATAAGTGCAAAATACTACAGCTTGGAAAAAGAAAGAAAACAAAATGTTACAAGATGGGGGCTACGTGCCTCAGCAATACTACAAGTGAGAAGGATCTTGGCGTTGTTGCAGATCACAAGCTGAATATGAGCCAACAGTGTAGTGTGGCTACAAAAAAGGACAATGCTATCTTAGGCTGCAATAACAGAAGTATAGTTTCCAAGTCCCACGAAGTGCTAGTCCCCCTCTATTCAACACTGGTTAGGCCTCACCCTGAGTATTGTGGACACCACACTTCAAGAAGGATGCTAACAAAGTGGAAAACATTCAGAGGAGGGTGACAAGGATGATAAGGGGCCTGGAAACCAAGCCTTATGAGGAAAGGCTGAAAGAATTGGGCATGTTTGACCTTGAGAGGTGTTGAGTGTTCCCACACTGGAGGCATTCAAGAGGAACCTGGACAGATATACTTTGATTTGGATACCTGCCTTAGCGGGTGATTGAACTCAATGGCTTTAGAGACCTTTTCCAACTCCATGATTCTATGATTCCATGTTTTGTGCACATATGGAAGCTCTCTATGCATAATGTAAACAAAATGCCACCCTAAAGGTGTTTCCTTGGCCATGTCCAAAGGGCATACCTGTCCCCAAGGAGAGCTAAAAGTCTTGAGGTTCTCATTCAACAGGTCCAGGAGGGCTAGAAACCTCTCATCCTGGTAATCAAAGTGGGTTGCAAAGACGATGGAGCAGATGATGTTGGACGTAGCACAGCCAAGCAGGAAGGTGGGGTCAAAGGGCTTCCCTGGAAGTACAAAAGGACATCATCAATCATGCCAGCTGGAGACAGACTTGCTCACCTTGCATGACCCATGATCTGATGGGAGAGCGGAGGAGAGGCTCCCTGTTCCTGCCCAGGCTCTCCGCATGAACAAGAGCCTCCATAGAAATACAAATCGCTTCTTTGCAGCCCCATCACAGTGAGGACCGTGAAGGGGAGGATGTTGAGGTTCCCCTTTCAGCAGAACAGCCTGGACAACGTTTCTGCATCACAATTTTCTCACTGCTTGGAGTGAGAGCACCTCTGTGTAAGGGCGATGAGGTGGCCGGTAGGGGAAGACTGCCCCAAGCAGTCTCATTGCAAGTGAGCCAGACAAGTCCTGACATCAAAGTCAGAACCCTGTCATTGCCTGGAACTAGTTGCTGCTGGTGAGATCACTATCGGGGTGGGGGGGAGATTGCTGGGACACAGCAAGATCCCACTAGATTCTCAGGGATCACCCAACTCAACCACAATGAGTTGGTGGCCAGGTTTCCTGAAAAGTGGTGTGAACCCTGGGATCAAGGCAGGAGCTCCTTGATCATCTTTTCCCACTTCCAATATTATGGATCTTGCTACCTTTCCTACCTTGGCAGGGACTTTGCCTTGATGACTCTTGAAGTCCATTCCAGCTTTCTAGCCGCTTGAGTCCGTTCCCAAAATCCTAGTAGTTGTTCCTGCCAGCACAGCCGGTGTTAATCTTGATGGTGAATTGGTACATACTAAGACCTCGGTTTAGGTGTATGGTGTTGTGTTACGAGTTTTGGAATCTACGCTAACCTCTTGTTGTTGATACGTGCTCTCATGCCAGAACCATCTTACAGGGATCCTAATTGGACTTTCAAGGTAAGGGAGATATTATGGAAGCATTATTTTGCTGTGGCTCCTTAATTTCTGGAAAGGTGTTTCAAACAAGGATAAAGAAATCATGATGTCCTTTTCAAAGAACTAATTAGTCTTGGCATGGTTGTTTAAAGTGCTTATTGTATATAATCTATTAAATCAAATGATCCTGATCCCTCATTAAAGGTTAATATGAAATATATCTGTACTTATTAGAAAGCAGAAGTGGACAAAGTTACTTTTTAAACTGCACCTGTGAAGCCCATGCCCTACTACAGCGTAGCCCAGAGGTGGGAAACAAAATAAGTGCTGGTAGAGTGGGTGTTTAGGAAGAAGTTATGTTGAGGAAGGTGATCTATTGATTCCCGGGTTGATTTGGCTGATCTGGCTGGCTGGGCAGGTGTCCCCTCCCTTCCTCCCTATTCCATGACCTACCTTTTGTGTCCCGGAGCTTTTGCAGCAGATACTGGGCTTCCTCCTGGATCCTCTCCTCGATGCTCTTCTTCCCCATCCCAAAGTTGCGCAGGGTGGTGAGGGCAAAGCGCCGGAGCACCTTCCATCTTTCCCCATTGCTGAAGATAATCCCTGGAAGCAGGGAGAAAGATCACACTAAGCATGCGGATCTGGACGTCCGAATCCCATTTCCTATATTATTTGCCAGTAGGGTCACTCCTTTTATCTTGTAAGGCCATATTTCCCCAATACTGGCTTTACGGACAACCTGCTCTCCTACTGTGCCAGAATTCTCCGGAATGATCAAAGACAAAACCATGTTAATCATGCAAATATCTCTAGACTAAACAGCAACGAAAATAAGACAAAGTGTGACTTTACAGACTAACTTTTGCCTGAAACAGCTTTTCCACGAGGTAAGCAATGGAATAAGTTCCAACTTCAGTGGATCTTCATGGTACAATCTGGATTTTGCCACCTGATCATTCATTTGTTGGCATAACTTGACTGTCTTACTCAAATGTTATATGCAGAATACATCATGCGGAAGGCTTTTCCACGAGGAATGGAATAAGTTCCAACTTCAGTGGATCTTCATGGTACAATCTGGATTTTGCCACCTGATCATTCATTTGTTGGCATAACTTGACTGTCTTACTCAAATGTTATATGCAATGCACATCATGCGGAAGGCTGGACTGGAGGAATCCCAAGCTGGAATTAAGATTGCAGGAAGAAATATCAACAACCTCCGATATGCAGATGATACCACTCTGATGGCAGAAAGTGAGGAGGAATTAAAGAACCTTGTAATGAGAGTGAAAGAGGAGAGTGCAAAAAACGGTCTGAAACTCAACATCAAAAAAACTAAGATCATGGCCACTGGTCCCATCACCTCCTGGGACATAGAAGGGGAAGATATGGAGGCAGTGACAGATTTTACTTTCTTGGGCTCCATGATCACTGCAGATGGAGACAGCAGCCCCGAAATTAAAAGACGCCTGCTTCTTGGGAGGCAAGCAATGACAAACCTTGACAGCATCTTAAAAAGCAGAGACATCACCTTGCCAACAAAAGTCCGAATAGTCAAAGCTATGGTTTTTCCTGTAGTGTTGTATGGAAGTGAGAGCTGGACCATAAAGAAAGCTGACCGCCGAAGAATTGATGCCTTTGAATTGTGGTGCTGGAGGAGACTCTTGAGAGTTCCCTAGACTGCAAAGAGAACAAACCTATCAATTCTAAAGGAAATCAACCCCGAGTGCTCATTGGAAGGACAGATCCTGAAGCCGAGGCTCCAGTTACAAAGATAATTTTTTCAGCAGTAGGCTAAATCTTATGGCTTATGCATATTTTTCCCACAATATTAGACTGGGACAAGCAAGTCGTGACGGATGAAAAGTTTAATAATTCAGATATTATACTTCTAAAGAAATAATAAAGAAAAACATACTTGGAGTTCCATGAACAAGCTCACTGAAAAGCACAGAAAGTACAACAATTACAGTAAAGTACCAAACATTAAAGCAAGAACTTAAAAAGAATAAGGTGGCAGCATGAAGTTATCCTTCTCCCCAAGCTGACGGGGGGAAAAAATCAATTCATTTGAAATGTGGCGCTGGAGGAGAACTTTCCAGATACCTTGGACTGCCAGAAAGATGAACATGTGGGTCCTAAATAAAATCAAACTTGAATTATTTTTGAAAGCAAAAATGTTGAAACCGAGGCTATCCTACTTTAGGCGTGTCATAAGAAGGCAGGATTCTCTAGAAAAGCCAATGATGAAAGAAAGGGGAGAGGTAGCAGGAAAAGAAGAAGAAAAAATCCAAGATGGACTGATTCCTTAAGGGCAGCCACGGACTTGAATTTACAATTGCTAAGCAGGGCAGCTGAGGACAGGACATTCTGGAGATCACTCATTCATAGTGATTTGATGGGCACATAACAGCAACAACTGGAGTTGTTCCAAAATCTTTGGTTACCAATATGAAACAATTGCCGAAAGCTGCTAATTTACATCCTGAAATTCAAAAATCTGTGATTTTGCAAACACATCATCCCACCCACAAATATTTAGTGCTTGACTTCTAATAGTTAGGCTTGTCTCTTTGGCCCACCTCTACGCACCAGCAGTACTGAGAAACAGGAAGTACGATATAATAATAAGAGTGTCCTTTACAAGTTTAATGCAAGTCTCAATCTTATAAAGTACTTAGAGAAAGTGCAATACAGTGGGGTCTTGACTTGAGAACTTAATCCGTATTGGAAGGCGGTTCTCAAGTCAAAAAGTTCTCAGGTCAAATCTGCATTTCCCATAGGAATGCATTGAAAACCATTTGATCCGTATCTGCTCTTTTCCGTCCATAGAAACTAATGGGAAGCTGCTATTCCGCCTTCGACCACTAGAGGGGGATATTTTGTTTCTTTTTTTCTTAGGTCAAGAAAGGTTCAGGGAAGGCAGGGAAAATACAGTCCAGGCAGTACAGTACCAGGCAGTCTGAAGACTGTCTCCCAATCCACTCTCTAAACGCTGGGAGGAGTGAGGAAGCAGACAGGCGCCCTTTTCACTGGCCAACAGTTAACTGAAATCTCAAATTTTGCACTTTCCCTGCCTCCCACGTGGTTTTTTTTTCAGTTTGTAACTCAAATCTAAGTATGTAAGTCAAGTCAATGTTTTCCTATGAGAGTGGTTCTTAAGTCAAAATGTTCGTAACTCAGGCCATTCTTAAGTCAAGACCCCACTGTAAAAAAACACACAGCCCCAGTGTCGAGGATGTGAAGATGGTCCATTCTTTGCCATTCAGGAGAGGAAGTGGAGGAAAGAGAAGAATCTCTTGGATAAAAAATCTGGGGAACTGGTTTGGAGGCAGCACAACGTTAGCGTCAGTTGGTGGAGTATCTAAAGCCAGAAGAGTTACAGGGACTCTGCCAGTCCATCTGGCTGGCTATCTATCCTTCCCTTTCTCTATGGAGATACACACCCACTTTCAGCAAAGGATAGTGATTCAGTTGGGTTGCTGGGCCCTTTGCTATTATGTTCCTGAAGTGACCTGTCACCCAGGAATCCTCAGAAGGAATGCAATGGGGGAGCCTCAAAGATGCACTAAGTCTTTTGTCTCAGTCTCTCTCTCTTTTGCTGAAAGAGGCTAAAAACAGCTGACTGCAAGCTCCTTGGGGCAGGGATGCTACACTTCTCGCGCTCTTCAGACTGCTATGCCCCCTTGCTGTCATGATTTGCCTGCAGACTAACTTCGCTCAGGCTTGTTTCAGCTGCTGAACAAACCAAACCTGGAGAGTCAGCGAACAAGAGCCAGCCATGAAATCACAACCCCTTAGACTTAGAGAGCCCGGCGATGGGAGGCCTTCCTCCTGCTGCTCACCTGTTGGAGAGCCTTACTGAGGAAGTTGGTCTTCAGCTGCAAGAAGTTCCCCACAAGGGGCAAAGGCATTGGGCCCGGTGGCAGCCTTCCCTTGCCCTGCGTCCTGCTGCCCACGACGGCCAAGAGGAGAAGGCAAGAGATACAAAATGCCAGGAAAAGGGTGACCGTCCCCAGAGGCTCCATGGTGGCTGGCAGCGGGTGCAGCAGGATCTCTAGAGGACAGGTGGGGGACCTTATTTATGCTCCACACCCTGGACTTTGCACATGTGATGCTCTAGGGCACCACCAAGTTAATCATTAGTGATTCCGGGTTTAATTGCCAAATCATGGTGAGCCAGTCGGTTCTCTGATTTGTTTGTTATCAGCTGGAAATGAAATTCTCTGAACTTAAAATATTGATTTATTCAACAAGGAGGTGGCTGTCTTCTGGTGACCTTTGCCAAAGGAGCAGCTGGGTTCTCCTGTGGCAGCAAAACCAAGAGAGATTCTTGCTGCATTGTTCAGAATTTGGGGGATGTCCTCGGGGTCCCTGGATGGTGGCAGGAAAGCAGGACCTGGGCAAGAAAGGAAAGAGAAGGAAATCCTTTCGGCAGAGGGACCAGGGCATTCTTGACCCTGCCCAGTCACAAAACCCCAGCTTCTTCTCTTTTTTTAAATGCAAGAAACAGCTGCGTGGTCCAGAATTTGACCCCGGGTGAAGAGGCTGTGACTGGTCTAACTGATGCTTGCTTGGGTGTCAGCTTTATATCCAGCTGGGCCCAGCAGGTGCCTGGGAGACACAGCTGGCATGATCTGATGATCATCTTGACCCATCATGTATCCTGTCCCCTGCCCAGCAATCTCCAAAGTGCAAGCGTCCCTGCCCTGTGACCGGAGGATGAGACAGCCTCAGGGCCCTCTTGGTGCACCACCACCCCCCCTGCTGCCCAAGGATCTCCTCCGCCTGAGCTTGCAGAGGGGCCAGAGGGGGTGCTGAGTTCCCCCAATGGATTGTGCTAGGGGTTTCAGACGTTGGTTGTCTGCCCAACAGCCATATCAGGGGCAGCTCATTGAAACCACGGATATATCTTGATTGATACCTGGCCTAGACATGTGGCACAGCATCCTCATAATCTGTTTTTTGTTTTGTTTTACTTGGCAGGGTCAAGGGGAACAAGGGGGTGTCCCCTCCCCTCCCCTCCCCTCAAACTCCCAACCTCTGGCTCTGCAGCCAGATCCCTAAACCACTGAGCTCTCCAGCCAGTGCTGCACTGCTAATCGTCTTCACAGACCATCATCTCACATCAAGGGGTTGGACAAGTGGTTGGACTGGTTTCTCTGGATTCTTTGTTGGAAGTGCTGATGACTCACCTGATGCAAGATAAATACCCATTGTTGTAAAACTAGCAGGTTTGTCTTCCTGTGCTGCTTTGATTCTGGTGTGGATGCTTCATTTGGTGGTTCTAAGAACATGAGAGACACTGCAGACTA